AATCAGCTGTGTCTGCAGTGGAAGAACTTCTGTGCTGGAGACACTCCTTTGGGGCAAGAGTTGCTTTAATGGGGCTTTGGTGCTCACTGAGTCTGCCCCCTGAGTGTGTCCTTTATGAATCCGAGGAGCTGCAGTCTGGATGGTCCCACTCCAACCACCAGGCACACTGGCTCCTGGATCTCTAAGGAGGTGCTAATCTAGCCTCTGCCTGAGGCTATCCAGCAGGAGCCAGCTGTGACACAATGCAAGTTGCCCTGGGGCCTTGGGCCAGCTGCAGTTTGTTAGGTAATTATCAGATTGCAAAGTGCCAGGCCTTTCATATGCAAAAGCCTCTGTGCACAGCTTGGGTGGGGCAGGTCTCAGGGGATCAACAGGGTGGAGCAAGCAGCTATGGCTACTCCTCAGTTCTACCCTAAGAGGCCCTGCGTCTCAGTGTCCCGGTAATCGCTGCAAGCACCTCTGAGAGAAAGCCACCCTTGAGTTCCGACTGATGCCAGACAGTCCAGTTTCTCGCCATATGAGTCTGGGTCCCCAGCGACTCGCCCGGAACTGGAGTTCAGAGCAGTCGGGAGCTTGAGACTCCCTCCGGGTTGAAAGAGACAACAGTGTCCTAGTTGCCAGCCCTTTCCACGTGCGCCTCTGTACTTCTGCACTCCATCTCCGCAGCTCCTCTGAGTCTCAGTGTGCTTTTCTCTTTCCTTCTAGTTGTAGAATTTTCACTCAGCCAGCCTTCCTGTGGTTCTGGATGATGTCTGTTTTGTCTTTTAGTTGTATTTTTGAAGTGGTTGTGTGAGGCAGCAATGTCCAGTGTTTACCTATGCCGCCATCTTGGTTTTTTTATGTCTGATATTTTAATGCCTATGGATTTTTTTTTTATTATTATTAGTTAAGGTATTACAAATGTGTCCTCATCCCCCCCCATTAACCCCCAACCTCCCCCCCACACACAAACTCATGCTCCCATCCCCCTGTTGTCCATGTCCATTGGTTTGGCTTATATACATGTATACAAGTCCTTCGGTTGATCTCTTCCCCTTACCCCCGCCCTCCCCTACTTTCCTTCTGGGGATTGATAGCCTGATTGCTGTTTCTCAGTCTTTGGGTCTGTCCCTTTTCATCAGTCTATGTTGTTCTCTATAATCCACAAATGAGTGAGATCATGTGGTATTTATCTTTCTCTGACTGGCTTATTTCACTTAGCATAATGCTCTCCAGTTCCATCCATGCTGTTGCAAAAGGCAAGAGTTCCTTTTTTTTTACCGCAGCGTAGTATTCCATTGTGTATATGTACCACAGTTTTCTAATCCACTCATCTGCTGATGGGCACTTAGGCTGTTTCCAAATCTTAGCTATGGTGAATTGTGCTGCTATGAACATAGGGGTGCATATATCCTTTCTGATTGGCATTTCTGGTTTCTTGGGATATATTCCTAGTAGTGGGATCACTGGGTCAAATGGGAGTTCCATTTTTAGTCTTCTGAGGTAGCTCCATACTGTTCTCCACAGTGGCTGCACCAGTCTGCATTCCCACCAGCAGTGCAGAAGGGTTCCTTTTTCTCCACATCCTCTCCAACACTTGTTGTTTGTTGATTTGTTGATGATAGCCATTCTGACAGGTGTAAGATGATAACGCATTGTCGTTTTGATTTGCATCTCTCGTATAATTAGTGACTTTGAGCAGGTTTTCATATGTCTTTCGGCCTTCTGTATGTCCTCTTTCGAAAAGTGTCTATCTAGGTCCGTTGCCCATTTTTTTATTGGATTGTTTATCTTCCTTTTGTTAAGTTTCATGAGATCCCTGTAAATGTTGGAAATTAAACCCTTATCGGTGGTATCATTGGCAAATATGTTCTCCCATGTAGTGGGTCTTCTTGTTGTTTTGTTGATGGTTTCCTTTGCTGTGCAAAAGCTTTTTATTTTGATGTAGTCCCATTTGTTTATTTTCTCTTTAGTTTCCATTGCCCTAGGAGCATTATCAGAGAAGAAATTTCTTCGGCATATGTTTGTGATTTCGCTGCCTGTGGATTCCTCTAGTATTTTTATGGTTTCCCGTCTTACGTTTAAGTCTTTTATCCATTTTGAGTTTATTTTTGTGTATGGTGTGAGTTGGTGATCTAGTTTCATCCTTTTGCATGTATCTGTCCAATTTTCCCAACACCATTTATTAAAAAGACTGTCTTGACTCCATTGTATGCTCTTGCCTCCTTTGTCGAATATTAATTGGGCATAGTGGTTTGGGTTGATTTCTGGGGTCTCTATTCTATTCCATTGATCTATATGTCTGTTCTTGTGCCAGTACCAAGCTGTTTTAAGAACAGTGGCTTTGTAATACAGTTTGATATCTGGTCTTGAGATCCCACCTACTTTGTTCTTTCTCAGGATTGCTGCAGCTATTCGGGGTCTTTTTTTATTCCAGATGAATTTTTGGAACGTTCGTTCTAGATCTGTGAAATATGCTGTTGGTAATTTAATGGGGATTGCATTGAATCTATAAATTGCTTTGGGTAGTATGGACATTTTGATGATGTTGATTCTACCAATCCATGAACACGGTATATTCTTCCATCTGTTTATGTCTTCCTCTATCTCTTTTTTCAGTGTCCTGTAGTTTTCAGCATATAAATCTTTTACCTCCTTAGTTAAGTTTATTCCTAGGTATCTTAATTTTTTGGTGCAATGGTACATGGGATTTTTTTGTTTTGTTTTGTTTCTCTTTCTTTTGAGTTCATTACCGGTATACAAAAAAGCCATAGATTTCTGGGTGTTAATTTTGTATTCTGCTACATCACCTAATTCTGGGACCTCTTGGGGGATGTTGGAGAGCTGGTTTCGGCCCAATTCCCGTAGGCCAGGCCGAGGGCCCCCACTGGTGCACGAATCTGTTCACTGGGCCTCTAGTTTTATTACAATAACATTGAGAAATTGTTGGATACTTACCATGTTTCTACTTATCCTGGGAGGGATCAGCCTAGTGAAAAAAATGAAGTTTTTGGTTTCCTTCCAGTGCAAATATTTACAGGTTGGTACCTGTCCATTTTAGCTTTTCCTGTTTAGTCACTTCTTGTTTCTCCTATAGGTTATTTTTAAATAAATTTTCTAATGGAATATAAACAGAGAAAACTACAGATTTTAACTATACAGCTTGTGAGGATATGAAAGAAAAGGAACCCTCATGCACTGCTAGTGGGAATGCAGATTGGTGCAGCCACTGTGGAAAATAGTATGGAGTTTCCTCAAAAAAGTAAAAATGGAACTCCCATTTGACCCAGTAATCCCACTTCTAGGAATATATCCCAAGAAATCAGAAACACTAATAGGATCTTGGTGAGACAGCAGCAGAGCCTTGCTCTCCAAGTCTTGCAATGCTGCCCAAGGATGATAAGAAGAAGAAAGATGTTGGAAAGTCGGCCAAGAAAGAAAAACACCCCCATGAATAAGTTTGGGGGAAGGCCAAAAAGAAGAAGTCATTCAAAGGCTAAATTTGGGACAAGCTCAATAACCTAGTCTTGTTTGCCAAAGAAGCATATGACAAATTCTGTAAGGAAGTTCCCAACTATAAGTTTATAACCTCACCTGTTGTCTCAGAGAGACTGAAGATTTGCTGCTCCTTGGCCAGGACAGCCCTTCAAGAGCTCCTTAGTAAAGAACTTATTAAATTAGTTTCAAAGCACAGACCTCAAGTAATTTATACTAGAAACACCAAAGGTGGGGATGCCCCAGCTGTTGGAGAAATTTCTATAAGATTGAAAAGTAGGAAAAACTAATCTATGGTAATAGATATCAGAATAGTGGTTACTTTTGTGGATAGTGATTGGAAGGAGCTTAATTGGGGCGGGGAGGGGGGCTTCTGTAGGGGCTGCTGTAGGGCTGTAATGTTCTATTTTTTCTTTTTTTCTTTAATAAAGGTTTATTTTTCAAAATGTACAGCCAGTCAGACCTGTTGTTCATGCATCTTCTCCAACAGCTGGGCATCCCCACTTTTGGTGTTGCTGGTGTAAATTATTTGACCTCTGTGCTTTGAAACTAGTTTAATAAAGTCCTTTACTGAGGAGCTCCTGAAGGGCTGCCATGGGCAAGGAGCAGCGAATCTTCAGTTTTTCCGAGACAACAGCTGAGGCTACTGTGTTAAGGCTATTGCCTGTTGTACTTCGTTATTAATAATTATGTATAATAGGATATTGTAAAAATTAAGTTACAAAATTTTCACTAAAATGTTTCTTTTATATATAGGCTGGGCCACAAACGTATTCGTATTCAACACCCTAAGCCGGATGCCTAGGTGGCAACTTTTTTTTTAAAGTAAGCTTAAAAAATGTGCATGTCATAGTATTCTCAAAGTGTGAGAATAATAATGTCACATCATGCCTAGTCCTCTGACTCTACTACCAGCATATTGCATAAAATCAACTACTCATAGTCTATATATGTGTATGCATGTATGTGTGTATAATATTTTCTTTACAACCCGAAATCACACAATATATGCAGTTCTCTATTCTGTTGATGGTCTTTTCCTCATTGAATAACTCATGGGGTCTTCAGGCAACTGCAGTAGCATTTCTCATAAACTTTCCCTAACACCTCTAGTCTGGGTTTTGTGTCTTTCCTCCATAACCTATGTCCCCTCTGCCATTTCTCCCTACTGTACTTTTATAAAAAATTGATTTTCAGAGAGAGAAGAGAGAGAGGTCGATTTGTTGTTCTGTTTATTTATGTATTCATTGGTTGATTCTTGTATGTGTTCTGACCGGGGGTTGAACTGCAACCTTGGTGTATTGGAACGATGTTCTAACTAACTGAGCTACCTGGCCAGAGTTCTTTATTGTGTTTTTATTTACTAGTTTATCTCCCTTACAAGATCTGAATAAGCAGGACCTCTAGTTCAATGCTTAATATACCAAAGGCACTCAATACACATTTGCAGAACACATGAGTGAGTGAGTAAGCTAACTGGGATCAACCCAAAAACTACACAAATGAGGAGCTTAATAAGGGGTGTGGTAATCAGACTTGGCTTATAGCTCTCATGCTTGAAGAGGAACTATTATAACTGCTGTTGCTGCTTGAGGAAAGTTCAGCTACTCCACTGACTCCTTCTTTGTCCGGTAACATGACCAGCAAGAAGTTAATTGCAGTGTTTGGAGCAATAGGTAAAAAGCTTACTTTTAAAGTGCATGCTGACTGCTTACTTTCCTGTCTTCTTGTTTTTAAAGTCAGAGCTTGCCAGTGTGGGTAAATTTCCTGCCTTTGGAGGAAATTAAGAAAAGTTTCTTACTGCTTGGATTTCTGATGTGGTAAAGGGGCTGGTGATTTTATTTTGTCAGAAATGATCTCAGCAGGACAAGGACAACTGACATATTCTCTATTTCTCAGTCATGTGCTGACTTGGTATGTTTCATTTCAATATAAGCTATCCTCTGGAGACTTTTCTCCCTTCACTTCCTGACAAGTGAAAGAAGCAAGTGTGGGTCTGTAGGGCATATCTAGGTGCCTAACCAATACCCCAGCCATTCTGAAAGGATGGAGGGGGTGGGGGTTAGGCAATGTGCTGAGTGACATTTCTGGGTCAGCTGCCTCAGCTTTTTAACTGCCCTCCCTGATTTCAATCTTATTTCTTCTGTTCTTTACATCCAGAGCCATCTTTGCAAAATGTTGATCAAATCAGGACACACCCATTTAATCTGTTCTCATTTCAGCCTCCTGATGATCCATTTGAAACTATCAGATCATGACATGCCTCTGCTCAAAACCCTCCAACAACTGCCTCCTCCCTCCCCCATCTCACTCCAAGTAAAATGCAAAGTCCAGCTAATGGGCCCCCATCTTTTACCCTCCCCTTTACTTGCTCAGGTGTTCCTCAAGTACACTCCCACCTTAAGTCCTTTGCATTGGCCGCCCCCTCAGCCTCCAGCTCCCTACACTGCTTTCTCCCTCCTGTCACCCAAGCCTCTGCTCAGATGTTGCCCTTTCCATGAGCACTTTCCAGATCTCCATATTTAAAATTGCAACTCCACTCCCCCTTACTGTTATCTGGCTGCCCTTCCTGCTTGGTTTCCTCCTTTACTGCTTGCCTTTCCACAGGAGAAGATAAGCTCTATGAGCAAAGGAATTTCGTCTGAAAAGAGGAAAGGACTAAAGCAGGGAGAAGAGAGAAATAAATTTGCAAAAACCAACAGCCAGTTATGACATTGACTTTAGAAGGAGTTCTTACCTTTTTTTAAAAAAATATATTTTATTGATTTTTTACAGACAGGAAGGGAGAGAGATAGAGAGTTGGAAACATCGATCAGCTGCCTCCTGCACATCTTCTACTGGGGATGTGCCCGCAACCAAGGTACATGCCCTTGACCGGAATCGAACCTGGGACCTTTCAGTCCACAGGCCAACGCTCTATCCACTAAGCCAAACTGGTTTTGGCAGGAGTTCTTACCTTTTGAGACAGCATGGATGGACCTGGAGATTATGATACTAAGTGAAATAAACCAGTCAGAGGAAGACAAACATCATATAACCTCACTTATATTTGGAATCTAATGAACAAAATAAACTGACAAACAAAATAAAAACAGAAGCATGGTTACATGGAACAACTAACAGCTGCAAGAGGGAAGGGAGGTGAGGGGACTGGATGAAAGGAGGTGAAGGGATTAGTCCAAAAACATATATACATAACACATAGACACAGAAAACAGTGGGAAAGGGTGTTTGGGATAGGTGGAGGTGGGCAAAGGGGGCGGGTAATGGAAATAGAGACTTTGCTTTGTGTGATGGGCACACTATGCAGTGTGCAGATGTTTTGTTGAGTTGTATACTTGAAACTGTTATAGCATAATCATAAGCTAGGAAAATTCCAGGACAAGCAGAATAGGAAAACTAAGATAGTTAAACCACAGTTTGAGCCAAAGTAGCCCAGCCTAGGCTCTCCTGTTGCTTTTTCTATGCCCATCTTTGTTTCACCCTCATAAGTATATTTATGCTGTGGTCAATAAATTCTTGCTTGCTTTTCTACCCTGTGTCTCTTCATTGAAATCTTTCCTTCAACAAGACAAGAACTGAGTGTTAGGTCCGTGCCAAGAGATGAGGATTTAAGAAATAATTCATATGTTGAAGCCCTAGTTTCTAATATCTCTGAATATGACTGTTATGCCCAGATTTCAAGATCTCCAACAGACCACGCGAGGGAGCCAGCCATGTCCGATGCAAAAGCAAAGAGTCCTTTATTTGAACTAGTTTGGCTCCCCGACCACACTCACCGATGCAACGGTAAGCCCAGTGGCCGAGAGAAACCTAGCCCGATGGGAAGAGGAGTTTTATAGGGGGGTGGAGTAAGGGCAGGAGAGGGGACTGTGGGCCCCGCCGATTGTCCAGGCGCAAGTCGGTGTCTCGTTACACAGGTTGTGGTCATATTAATGGCGTGCACTTCCCTTGATTATCATTGGTTAGTCCAGAGAAATCCTGGGTGTGGCTAGCAGAGGCTTGGGCTTCCGGGAAGAAGCCTTGCCGAGCACATGGCTCTGCCCAAAAATGGAGGACCCAGGGTAAGATGGAGGGCATAGTCCTCACCCTTTCATTCCCCCCTTTGTCTTGGAACTTCTGGCTCAATCATGAGACGGACTGCATTTCTATTCCACTGTTGCTAGAGGCCCATACTGGGCACACAGAACTATCAACTGAACTATCCCTCTACGCTTAACAAATGGTCTGGTGGAAGGGAAAGAAACCATTTTAGATTTAACAACTTCTATTGAAATAGGATTTTTCTTCTTAAAATTCCTCCATGGCTATCAAAAAGCCAAATCAAGATTGATTTATCTACTGTCCTGATGTTTGCATAAACACAACAAGAATGGTAACTGGCTACCTTTGCTGGAATTTCATGGTTGAACCTTAATGTGCCCCGTAGGGCCAGGAAGCCAAGCCATCCAGCTGCCATCAAGCCTGCCTGCAGTATCTGCTGAGTTAGGTGAGTCCCTCACCTGTAGCAATTCCACCTGAGCCCATGCTCCAGGCTTTAAGGCCCATCTCAGTAGCCCTCTTACTCGTTGCGGCCCAGAGTGTGTGGGGGTTCCTCAGGGATGCAGTGGCATCTTTACTGCTCCCCTTCTACTCTTACCAACTGCCAGTGATGGTAGGGCATCGGCCTGACGCTCCAGTGCCAGCCATCTTCAGGGCTCCCAAGCAGGATACCAGGCTTTCTTCGTGGCATTCTTACTGGCTTCAAGTCTTTAGAGCTCAGACAGGGCTCTTTAAAACATGATACTCCAGTCAAAGTTTTCTGTTAATAAAACCACTATTAGGAACCAGTCTTATTGAATCTATGCAAAGAAATGTATTTCCATGACTTATTTAGCATTGCCAGATTTTGGAGGAATTACATAAGGAGAAAAACATACTGATCTACTCTAAGATTTTCTGACTTTCCTTGCTAATTCCTTTTCATGGATTTAAAACAAAACAGTAACTGTTGGCATAAAACCTTCTTTCTATGCATAACCATGCCTCAGACCGTCTATTCTAAACAGGCTTTTTCCAGATTTACTGCCCCTGACATGGGCATGGTGACTCAGGCCTGCAAGACAGTATTACAGGCTGCCAACTGTTAGCTGTCTCTCAACAGAGACCAAAACCTGATGGGCACCTTTCCCTGCCCAGTTGGGCACCTGCCCTCTTGGCAGCTAGACACCCTTTACTTTCGGGGGTCAGCCCACACAACTCCCTTCCAGGACAGCCAACATACATTCAAACCTGCAAAAGAATCAAAGGTTAATATCATCATGGCCGCTTTAGGCAGCCAAATCTTCTGCTACTAAACATGTGATCCTATAAATTGTCCTTGTCTCTTTGGAGCCAGGTCCATGAAGATGCAGGCATCATCTAAGTCTATTACACAGTATTGTGGGGGCTCCTGGTGACAGGAGTGATCGCGAGCAATGTTACCAGCATCAGGCAGGTCTTGAGCTTGAGCAGGTTGCTTTGATTGCACGGATGGGACCGCTGACCGGATGTGAGTGTAATGGACCCAGGTCGCGACCCCGTCTACCTTGAGAGCAGTGGGGGTTGTCAGCACCACAGTGTAGGGACCCTTCCAATGTGGCTCTAGGGTCTCCCGGCGGTGCCTTCTGACGTAGACCCAATCTCCTGGTCTGTGCTGATGAGGAGTTGAGGTTGGGCCGGTCTCAGTCTCGTAGATGGCATGGAGGCGCGGCCAAATGTCCTCGTGCTCCCTCTGGAGCCCTCTCAAAGGAAAGAGATTGTTAAAGAAAAGCCACCCAGTCCCCGCCAGTCTCCGAGTCAGATTCCTCCTCTCTTGGAGAACTTCAAAGTCCTGATGGCTTCTAGGTAACCCTGTTTATTAGTTACAGTGCTCTGATTTCTTGCCTTTCTACCAGTTCCCTTTGTGGCAGAGCAGCAACCAGGCCTCTTTCAAGGGAGTGCGCTAGAAGGGGGTATCAGCCCCTCCTTTGCTAGCAGCAACAGGTACCAAACACTTTCAGTACATTTGACCAGCTTCATTCCCGCCCACCTTTACAGATTCTAAGGCCCATTGTCTTCCTTTAACCAGCAAGCCAAATGACACTGGCCTGTATTATTTAATTCAGCACAGGCAGGGGGAAGGGCCCATGAAATCTTTGCCCTGAGGAACTGTAAGCCCCACCCTTAAATGTCCCAATCAGACTAGAAAAGCCACAAATACCTTTTAAATCTACCCCAGAATTCCAAAATCCCAACCCAGCACAGAATATCACATAGCAAATCAAAGTTCCCAGCAAACAAACAGACAGATGTTTACTAGTTAGGCAGGCCGATTCCACCTCTGACAGAGAGCAAGTGCTCTTGGGGAAAGATCCCAGTGGCCACTCAGGGCGCTTTGCTATCAGTCAGAGCACTCAGCCTTAAAGAAATCAAGCGTGTGCCTTTTTTCCCACAGACTTCCACACTTACATGAACAAATAATTATACCCAAGTAGACATACAAACATCAAATAAATATTTACACTTACACCCTTTCAGTGAACAAGTACCTTTACAGTCTTGGTATCTTGAGCAGATAACAGGAACTCCGCCCAAGTCCCCTGATGGGGGCCTGACAGGAACAGATGTGGGGGCCTCCCTTTCCCACATCCCAGGACAGGATTCTTGACCTATGTCT